TCTACTGATGTTCCCAAATGTAAGAATTTTTCAGCTTTACAATTACAGTGGTATGAAATTCTAGGCCCTACGCTGACCAAATATATGAGGAACTCATTCTTGATTAAAAAAAAAAAAAACAAATGTCTTGTGCAGTGAGAAGTCTGGCCTGACTACAAATCTAAACAATGCAAAAAAAAGTAGCGAATCCCTACATTTTTAGTCTTGACAGACTGTAAGAGTGACTATATTGGGAATAGAGAAAAGGTCAAAGGGAGGTAAGCACATGGTGTTAACTTGTTTTTCCCAATACTCGGGAGTTAACCATATTTAAATCCTCATGTGCTAATGCTTTCTTCCAGGTCTGTGTACAGGAGAAAAAAAGAACCAGGTTTTTGCTTAGATATCTCAATACCAGATTCTTTCTGAGCATCATAACCTAGATATAAATAATCAGAGTCCTATCTTATTGTCTCTACAGAACTCAACTTTCACTCAAGCTGAAGGAGGCTTATCAGGCTCTCTGGATTTCTTCAGCTGGTCTGGCTCAGACTGACTCCCACCTCCATTATTTCCTTAGGCTAGAAGGGAAAGGAAATTCTTTGATCTCTTGTAAGAACAAATACATTCTTTTACCTCTTTGGTACCTGCTGCTCCAAGCTCAAATAAAAATCTCTGCCTTGGTAAACAAATCAAGTCTTCTAAGCAATAGTCAATTCCCAGAATGGCCTGAAAAGATGAAAGCACTTCTCTATGAATTCTGATGCAGAGTATGACTACTAAATCCCAGTACCACTACTGCGCTGAGTGCAGTTCAGTCCAGTTTAAGCTTTTTTTAAGCTCTTAACTTTCTTACTGTTTTTAACAGGAATTTAGAATCCAGCTATCAGCTAGCTGACTCTCAAGTGAGTAACTTTATTTCAACATTAATGCATCACCTCTTTTGACATCTGACTGGATTTTCAAATATGTTCGTATTTTCTGACTGACATAAGGATGGGAAGTGCATAAATGAAGGGGAAAACTCAGGTTTAATTATCACATTTAACTTCCACACAAGCAAAAGATGCACAATTGTAACTGACACCATTGGCTTAGTACTTGGCTCTTTTCAGTGAAAAATAATATACAGCATACCTTCACTGTCCTTTAATTTTTTTTTTTATTTTGAAGATACCAGCACTTTACTTAGTAATTAAGTACAGCCTCCATAAGAATGCAGCAGAAATAAAATTTTTTCCTAAGGAAAAAAAAAAATTACCATATCTACGGAAATCTGGAAGGAAATTATAATATACATGCCAATATTCAAAGTAGAATTTCCACAGAAATTGGTGCTTGAAATGCTGGCTGGTTACCAAGAGGTTTTAAACATTGCAAACTAACTACCACCTAACAGCTACTGCCATTATATGGAAGGTTTGCAGGTGTTGAATTGTAGAATGTGCCTGGATTCCTGCCCAGATGAGACAGAGATGTTTTTTATTTCCCTCAACAGAAACGCCTCTCATTCCGACCAAGGACAACAATCAAGAAGAACAATGACATGTCCTGGGTTGAGTGAGTGGTGGAGTTTTTTGGCAGCAGGGGAGGGGGCTATCGGGGCGGCCCCCTGTGAGAAGCTTCTCGAAGCTCCCCCAGCTCCACGTCAGCTCCACTTCTGTTTGGGAAATTGAGCCAATCAGCTGCGCCTCTGCGATAACGTATTTAAGAAGGGACGTGGTGACGGGCAGTCGGACTTGTGAGGAGGAGTTGCTGCAGCTGCGTGAACACCAAGGTCAGTGGAGGAACGGAGGAAGAAAGGAGGGGGGAGGTGTGCTGGAGCAGAAACCCCCCTGTATCCTGTGGTGAGACGGCAGGGTGGCCCCCCCTGACACCCATGGAGATCTACGGTGGAGCAGACATTGATTTGTGGCCTGTTGCTCCTGCTCGGTTAATCAAGGTGCTGTGCCTGAAGAAGGCTGGGGTCTTGTGGGAAAAGGTAGCCCCACTGCTGTAATTCAGCGCTAGGAGGATTGCAGCACACGGGGGTGTCCCACACCGGAGCAGCTCGGGAAGGGCTGCAGCCGTGGGAGGGAATACAGTTGGAGGAAGTTAGTGACCCATGACGGAGCAGTGTGGGGAACGCTGCGGCCCATGGGAGGAATTCAAGTCGGAGAAAGTTTGTGGAGGACTGTCTCCTGTGAGAGGGGGACCACGATGGAGCGGGAGGAACAAGTTTCAGACACTCCCCTCACCGAACATGAAGGAAGTGGCAGAGCTGACTGCACCCCCCATTCCCTGCCCCTGCGCCACTGGGGGAGGAGGTAGAGATATCGGGAGCAGAACTGAGCCCGGGAAGAAGGGAGGGGTGGGGGGAAGGTGTTCTCAAGATGTGGCAATGTTTCTCACTGTCTTACTCTGTTATGTGTTGTTAGTGTCTGTAATAAATGTATGTTCTTTTTTAATTCCCCTAACGAGTCTGCCTTTTGCTCATGATCATAAAAGGGGGATTTTTCCCCATCCCAGTCCTATCTTGAACCCCAAGCCTGGCTCTCTGTCCCTTCTCATTGCTGGAGGGGAAGGGAGAGAGAGCTGCTGCATTGTGGTTGGCTGCCAATCATCGACGTATACCAGAAGAGAATTTGCAAAGATTCCTATGTAGAAGATAGTAGCTGTTAGTAGGAGCAATAAGCTCGCAAGGCAACCAATTTATATTTTCAACTGCTTGGGACACCTTCAGACACTAAACCAGAAGGTGTCTGGATAGATAGATACTTGGGTAAATAATCCCCAGCCCACCTCTTCCTGAGCTGAATCCCACACTGCATTATATGGTGCAACTTAAGCAAAACTGATATGCAAAAGGTTATTCAACAACAGCATGAAAATGAGGCCCATAAAAGTACAGAAGAAAGTTTCCACATTTCCAGATAGATCCCTATTCAGGGTTCTGTCTGGAAGAATTCCATGGGATATGGCCCTGATGAGAAGGAAGGTCCAGGAGAGCAGGCTAATTTTCAAGGATTGTCCATCCGCACACGCAGAAAAATAAAGCAAAGATGGAAGAATGTCTGCATGCATGAAAAGGGAGCTCCTGACAAAACTCAGGATGCAAAAAGGAAGCATACAAGAGGCAGAAGCAGGGAAAAAATACCAAGAAACTCTTAGCATGCACAGATAGGGCTAAGAAAGGCAAAACCCATCTGGAGTTAGATCTGGTGGGAAATATGAGAAGCAAATCTAAAACCTACAGGTGTATCAGCAGCAAAAGGAAAACTAGGGAAGATGTGAGCCCACTCTTAAATGTGGCAGGCGAACTGGAGACAAAGGTAACGGAAAAGGCTGAGGTACTCAACGCGTCTTCACCATTGTCTTTAGTGGTAAGACTGGACTTCAGTAAAACCAGGTTCCTGAGACCACTAGAAAGTCTGCAGCAAGAAAGGCATACCCTTGGTTGAGAAGGATCAGTTAGGGAATACTTACACTAACTGGACATATCCAAGTCCATGGTGCTTGACTGAATGGACTCACAACTGGCTGATGTAATTGTGAGACCACTCTCAATTATCTTGGAAGGGTCATGCTGAGCAGGATAGGTTTCTGCAGATTGTAAGAAAGCGAAGGTCATTCATGTCTTCAAGAAGGAATATACAGAAAATAGAGGTCAGTCAACTTCAACTCCTTCCTGGGAAGGTGATGGAGCAAATAATCCTGGAAACCACTTCCAGACACATAAGGGACAAGGTAGCAGTCAGCATAAGTTTATGAAAGGAAGATCATGCCTGACGAACCTGATAGCCTTCTACAACATGGCATCCAGCTTGGTGGACAAGTGGAGAACGGTGGATGATGCCTACCTTTACTTTAGAAAGGGTCCTAACAGTTTCCCAAACCACCCTTATCTATAAGCTGACAGACTAGACAAGGGAACAGTGAGATCGAAAAATGGCTGAAGAGACAGGCCCAGAGGGTTGCGATCAGTGGCAAAGTCCAGTTGGAGACCAGGCACTAGTGGTGTACCCCAAGGGTCAATACTGGATCCAGTCCTGTTTAACATCTTTATTAATGACCCTGATGACAGAAGATTGGGAAGAGTGCTTGATACAGCAGGATGTTGGGCTGCCACCCTCCAGAGGTACCTCAACAGACTGGAGAAGTAAGTCAACAGGAATCTCATGATGTTCAGTAAAGGCAAATGCCAAATCCTGCACCCAGGGAAGAGAAAGCCCATGGACCAGAAGAGGCCAGGGACCAATGTGCTGGAAAGCAGCATTGTAGAAGAGGACCCGTAACGCCTAGTGGACACTAAAGAGGCCATAACCCAGCAATGTGCCCTTGCAGCAAAGAAGGTCAATAGTATCCCAGGTTGCATTAGGAAGAGTGCTGCCAGCAGACTGAGGGAGGTGATCCTTCCTATGAGGAGAGGCTGAAAGAGCTGGGACTGTTCTGCCTGGAAAAGGCTCAGGCTATCTCACCAATGTGTAGAAGTATCTGATGGAGGCAAGGAAAGAGACAGTAAAGAAGAGTAAGTGGTATCCAACAATGGGTCAAGATGCAATGGGTGCAAACTGAAATACAGAAAACTCCATTTAAATATAAGAAGAAACTTCTAGTATAAGGACGCTCAAACACTGGGAACAGGTCTGTAGGTTGTAGAGATACTCAAAGCCCAACTGGAGACAAGCTTGAGCAACATACTTTAGGTGACTGTTTTGAGCAGGGAGGTTGGACTAGATTATCTCCAGTGGTCCTTTCCAACCTCAGTAACTGTATACTCAAAGCACAAGAAAAAGGAACTCATTTGAGAAAGGCCATTCAAAAAAAAAAAAAACAACCAAAACCAAACCCCAGTAGAATTAATGCAACATTCTTATTTATGGGTTTAATGTTATGATTTCTTATCTTTAATATATGAAATTTTTCTACCTCTCCCATTTTATACACCATTTCCTGTCCACCAGAGCTGCTGTTGTTTTAGATGGCTTTTTGTTTGTTTTAAAATCAACACCATTTATAGTCACATTACAGATAACTGAAAATTGATTGAAAAAATGCATTTATTCTTTGATAACTAACATAACGAGCACATTTTTAGAAATTCAAATACAAAACACATGCACTGCAGTTGCCATACACAAACGATATGCACAGTTATAACACAAAAACATTACAGGTAACTGAAAACTGATTGATAAAAGCATTTATTCTTTGATAATTATGATATACTAAGCAGATTTTTAGAAATTTAAATACCAAATACATGCATTGTAATTGGCATATACAAATGATATGCACAATTATAACACACACAAGTCATCCTCTTGAAGACAAAAATCAGAATGTGTAATCTTCAAATCTGTTCCCCAGTTTTTCCTATTTGAAGGAACAGCCACCATTGGTAATGAAAATTATCATTTGAAAAAAAAAAAAAAAAATTCTCTTCTCTAATCCTGTAAAGTGAGTGTCAGGCTGGGCCTTAACTTCAGTCAAAACTTCTGTAAGTCTTCCACCCTGAAGCTATCCAGTTAACAGTGGGTCTCTCCCAGCAAATATGCACTACATATGAAGCTTCTTTAATTACAACATTCCCTTTATATTCCCACTCCTTTGATACATCCTCTGTATCATTTTACAGTGCTAGACTAGATTGATATAGAAACTGACAACCTGTATCTCGTATAGATATTAAAATACAGAAGCACAGTGAATTCTAAACTGCATATTATAGAAATAATACAGACCACACACTTTTTTTCATTTACTTGTACAAGATTTTTTCCTTTTGTCTGAACGTGAGGTCTTAATAGCTGCTCTGGAAGGAATTTTTCCTCTATAGAGTGGCATCTACATCCAATGGGAACCTCTAATTCATCTCTCAGCTTGGTGACTACACTATGTCTAAAGCACAAACTAGTGATCAATATTAGACAATAACTCCACAAAGCTCCTCCTTTTCAAAACAGAGCAGGCATTAGGAACAGAAATTCAGATGAAAACAGTTTTAAAGGACTACATTCAATATTTCTAACTTGAAACGTGACCCACTCTTTGCCTTGCACTGTACCTCAAACCTGTTTCTGTCCAGGAATTCTTCATGCTGGCTAGGGAAGTGTGAGAGATTCATACATAGAAGACTGGTATTAAAAGCCTGATAACAGGAGCAACAAAAACTCCCTTTAAAGTAGTTTATATTCTTAACTTTCTGGGACAGATTCAGATGTTAGTTGAAAAGGGTCACCATATAAATACTTCAGTAGATGATACCAGCTATACCTCTTTCCGAACTGGATACTGCATTTAATGGAGAAACTTACACAAAACTGAAAACACAAAAGAAGAGGCACAAAATCCTGTGCAGTCCCACAGTACATAAGCACTTAAAAATGGATGCAGTTTGCTCCATCTAGGCATGGATAAAAATAAACTGAACACAGAGCAGTGAAAACTTAATTCTGAAAGACCTTGCTATAACAGAAATGCAACAAAAATCCAGTCATAATAAATCTGACAATACCAAATTTTGTAGATAAAGTCTGTGAATGCAGTGCCTGAATGTCAATTTAGTATCAGCACTTAAGTGAAATTCAGTCTTCATTACTACTGCTGCTCCATAGGTCTTCATACATTGGACCGGAATACTGTTGAGGCAGAGAATAAAGAAAAAAATTCTTTCAGTGGTTTCCTCAGTTAAAAATACTCAAATCAAATAAGGGCTAATTTGAGTATTTCTTAATTACTGTAGGTAGACAAACTATAGTGTGTCTCATGAGTACTCCATTTTAACCACTTTTGTCATTCCATTGATTCAGGACAGGATAAATTATAAAAAGAAACAGTACTCTTATTTAATTCCAATCTCAACACAAAACACCTGAAACACTGTCTGGAAGTTTTACAAATATCTACTATAAAATATAACAGACAAATTGTCTGTGTGTGTTTTATGTCATTGGTTTTAAGTTGTAGTTTCCTTGACCCAGCATAAGTGAGCACTACGGTCTGAAACAGTAGTCCTGGCCTCTATCTACATCCAACAACTCTTTCTCACCTCAGCCCCACTAGGGTGAATCTAAAGGGTTTGTGCAGCTATGCAGTATGCTGAATCACAGTGAAATGAGGTAACTTTCTTGTTTATTCTATTCTGGGTTCAGATTCTGGTCATACAGGCATTCAAGTGGCTGTTCTAGCACATAAGATGGAGCAGGAACTAGTGGCCTGTGGACAGCACATCTGCTTCTTTCAGAGACAGTGCTCATCAACATTTGCAAAAGCAGCTGTAGCTTGAACAGATTTCAGAACCGGTACATATTATATCTGTTCACCATGTCAAATATAAAAGGGCAATTGTAATCAGAGCTGGGTAAATGAACTTTTTGCTGCGGGTTTGTTTTTCAGACTAAGAAAAAACAGTTCACACATCAAACTCCTCAGTTACAGCAAAAATGGTCATTTCAGGTCAACTGAACACATTTTGGGTTTAGGCTATCTAATCTTTGAAATTACTTCTTTCTTATTTGCTTAAGTGTAGGATAGTTCTGAAATATGTTGTCTTACAAAGCAAAGCAAGTGTTACAAAAATTGTATGCTTAATTACCCATCCAAAATGGAACATTTCAGAAATTTTTAAAAGTGCAATTTTTGTATGCCATGAGCCAAAACTTAAACATATCTTGACCTTTTTAACATTAGAACAGTTTGCCAGACTGATTCTGTAAACGATTTCAGTTCCTTAAAATCTAGAAGCTTTCCCCCTCAAATCGTTCACTGAAACTTTTATTGCCCAGCTCTAATACAAAGAGGAACTACTCTCTTGGAACAGTGTTACATATGATCTTTCCTGCAACAACCTGAGCATCTTGCCTCAGACACTATAATAAGCTCACTTATAATCTTCTTTATTGTATTTCTGAAACAAAAATATTTGTTTATGAAGTGTGGCATCCCTAATCTTCTTGTTTAATACAAAGTATATCCTTAAAACAATTTAAAATACAATCTTTGGCACCCTTCTAGTTCCTAAATAGCATAAACTACAGAAAACAATTTGCAAATTAAGTAAGATGAAGTTGGAAGACTGATAGCCAAATGACAGGTACTACTTTTTAATTGAGAAGCTAGAAATCTGCAAAAGATTTTACTAGACTGAAAAAAAATGTCCTCTTGAAACCCCACAAGAATCAAAAGATTGCACAGATACAATAGGTAATTTTTCTCTTAGGAATTGTTGCAAGTGTTTATGGTGAAACACATACTTCATTTAATTTCCACACCACCTCCCCAAGCATAACAGTCAAAAAAGCGCATTTTAAACCCACAAATTCATTACGTTTTCTGAAGTATCATCAGGAACTGGCTCTCGAGGAGTTGGTACCCACGCAAGGATATTGTGATCATTGCTACCACTATAAAGTTCCTTTAAGAAATCAAGGAAAAGTTACTTTTACATGAATTTACTGAACAGTGACAGATAGAACATTGGGGAGAAAAGTGTATGAAATATTTTCTTAATAAGACAAAAATACAATTTATAATTTGTACTATAATATTAATATAAGTATTTTAAATAATATTCTAAACCAAAATGAGTAAGTTTTTATATTTTTCCAGATTGCTCACCAAAACAGCACTACCCACATTTAAATTAACTTTATGGCTTAAATGCACTTTCCTCTTCTCTCATGTCTTCTGAAAACAAACATATTTTAACAGTTAAGAAGCTTAAGAGATGATTTATGTTCAGTGGAGGAAAAAGAGAAATTTTTTACTGTAATTAAAATATATGGATCAAATCAAAAGCATCTATTAACACATATCAGAAGAGAGTACATGTATGGAATAAAGAAGTATTAAGTAAATGTAGTTTCAGCATGCCTTGGGAAGGAAAAGAACAAATAGAGAACTATTTGAAACTTGTACCCTGTTGGGAAGGCAGAGATCAGAAAGACAAATTTATTATTTCTAATAACTCTATTTATTATGTTAATGACTAAGAACTGAGATCCCATTGTGCAAGGTACGCTGCAAACACATGGAAGCAGTCTCTACACTACACCGCTAACAGTCAAGTATAGCTTAGTTTTCTTATTTTCTATTAAAGGAAATAGAATTCTGTTACTTTAAACTGTGGAAATTTTGATAGAAATACTGCACCATCTTTGAAGTAAATTTTGCACTAATAATGCTTCTGTTATCCAAAGTGCTACTTAAATGAACATGCATGAATATATTCTCATATGCTTTCTATCTTGAATCATATTCCTGCATATCATACACAATGTCTGACACTCGAGTATTGCGATATTTCACTTGGGCAGTTTAAATACAAAGTAGTTTTTCAGTATTCAGACTGACAGTATGAAAGCCTTGCTTTAAGCATGTTGGCTTTTACACTTAATCTACCAATTCTGTGCATATGTGCATATTATTAATATGTTGATTCAACATAAGCTCAATAATTATTATAGTTCTGTCTTTGCAGAAAGTCTCCTATGGTATATGTATTTAACTCTAGAGCTGCATGAATTACAATGACAGTTGGTGCGGGAACTTAATGCCTAATTCCTATAAATACTCATTTATGTGGCTAATCTTACCCAAGAAAGTGGACATACTCACTTTTGTAAAACTGGTCCCATGCATGAAGTTATTCATGCATAAAACACATACAAGATTAGAGTTCATAATTTTTACCTTTGGTGTTGACACACTGACTACAGTAATGTTATTCCAGAGTAAGAATTTAATACAACTAAAAGCAGAGCATATAAAGACAGACCAATTCGTCACACTTCTAGAATATAGAACTGAACTCTGGAAAAGGGCCGTTCTCAAAAAGATTCAGGAATCATAACAGATAAACAAATAATTTTGTTGCCAATAAACCTACAGTGACTGATGCAATTCTGGTGTACATGTTCATACATGAGTGATGTTTTTCTTAGGATCTTAAAAGCCAAGACAGAGACACTATAAAGAGAGGTACATTTCCAGTGCTAGAAAACATTATTTACAGTAAGATTTAACAAGTCCTACCTTTTCAGCTTACCAAAAAGAAACCCAGAGATGATTTAATGTAAACATACTAGCACTTTTCTTGGGAAACTAAAGCTAGTCAGTAACAATCCAGAAAAGATGTGCCTTAGCTATGTGATTATTCTACCTTTCAGTGGATCTAGTATCTCACTGCCTATTCATGCCAGAACTGCTTTTCAGGTCTAACAAGGCTTATTAGCTTGAGCTCTATTGCGCCATCTGTAACATGTTCAAAACTTTCAGTGAAGTCCATCTCAGTGATGGGGAAAGATTGTTTCAGTCAAAGTAACTGGACTCAAAGTAAAAGCTAACAGATTCACTTCTATGATGTATTGTATGAGAGGTCACGAAAAGATATCCACAGGCCCCTTCTGCGTAATATTACAGAAACAAAAGACAATAAAGGAGGAGCTGGAATATGAAGTACAATCCTCAACATCTGAGGGCAACTATGTAACAGCCTTAAAATTCATACTAATATCCACTCTGCTCTCGTCATACCGCAAGCCATAAGAACAATCTGTTGTAAAATATCTCATAACAAATTTACCTTTGTTGTCCTTAAATCTTTTATTACAAGAGGAAAATGTATCATGGGGGAAGAAGAAAAGAAAAAGGGTTGTCAGCACCATGAGTCTCTGCAATGCTATGGTGAAATGTTCTCAGATTAATTTATGAAGCTCATCATGTTTAGCACCTCATCCAAACCGTTCATACAGCCAGTGACTGGTATAACTACAGGCATTTGCACAAGGTCACCTTAAAGTACCTGAGAGGGTTTCAAGTACTGATAGCAATACTAACGTACTTCACCTAAATGCACTTCACATTCTTTCTTACTGTGAGTAGTCTTAGGTATCACAGAAAGACAACTGCCTCCTCTTTGGTCTTACAGACAAAAGGCAGAAGCCTTCATGTATACGATTTATTAATGACAATATAAGCAAAAAAAATTACTATATTATATTTAAAAATTACCTATGAGACAAAACAAATAGTGGAAGGAATCCAGTATAGAAAGGGCTGTCCTTAGAACCTAACCAAACTTTTCTTGCTTGACACATAGGCCACAGAACTCTGTCTTATATTAAGATCTTTGGGCTCATCCATGAAAAGTTAATACTTTTTGTGCAAACAGTTTGGTAAGGTGCATAAATATTCCAGGTTGTATGTAATATTGTTTGTACTTTACTTACCTGAAAGTTAGGTTGAAATACACAGCAGTTAACAGTATTATAATGCCCTCTAAGCACAGTTTTCAGTTCTCCTGTGAAAACTGCATAAACAGCAATGGTACTACCACACGGTACAAATGCATACTCTTGATTACAGCCACAAGAGACGGTGAATTTGACTCCTTTTCTACTCTCATTATAGATTTTCCCATAATTCACCTGTAAAATTAAGGATTATGCAGTTAGTTATTAACTAAAAATACAGGAAATAACTTCACATGAAAAGGTCAATTTAATTTCTTCTTTAATACCTAATAAAATTAATTTTAAGCTTCCAATGTTAATACAACTCTTGAGATTTCCAATTACACATGTCTATCAAGAAAATTCATCTCTTCATTAAAGTTCACTCCCCTTAATATTAATTTTAGGAAAGGGAAATAAATATATGCCTAAAAATCAGCAGTTTCACTTAGAAATAGAATTTACACAGGCTGTTGTGTGCCAGACCTAGACAGAGCACCCAAACTATCACTGAAATTAGAACTGGTTCAGGAATCACTGCTTTAAACATTTTCCTAGATGATCCAACGTAATACTTTTCAATATTGAAACTGTACAAGAACTCCTTATGCATAACACTATACAGTTACAAAGCATAAAACCATAGAGTAGTTTGGGTTGGAAGGCACCTTTAAACGTCACCTAGACGAATCCCACTGCAGTGAGGAGGGGACATCTTCAACTACATCTGGTTGCTCAGAGCCCCATCCAACCTGACCTTGAATGTTTCCAGAGATGGGGCATCTACTACCTCTGAGAAACCTGCTCCAGTGTTTCACCACCCTCATCGTAAACAAATTTCTTCCTTACATCTAGTCTAAATTTATCCACTGTCAGTTCAAAACCATTACCCCTTGTCCTATCACAACAGACCTTACCGCAAAGTCTGTCCCCGTCTTTCTTGTAAACCCTCTTTAAGTATTGAAAGGCTGCAATAAGGTCTCCCCAGAGCCTTCTCTTTTCCAGGCTGAACCACATCAACTCTCTTAGCTTGTCCTCATAGGAGGTGTTCCATCCCTCTGATCACTTTTGTGGCTTCCTCTGGACCTGCTCCCACATGTCTCTGTCTTTCCTGTGCTAAGGACTCCAGAGCTGGACACAGTACTCCAGGCGGGGTCTCGCGAGAGCAGAAAAGGGGCGAAACACCTCCCTCAACCTGCTGGCCACACTTCTTTTGATGCAGCCCAGGATATGGTTGGCTTTCTGGGCTGCAAGTGCACGTTGTCAGCTCACAGTCAGTTTTCCATCCACCAGTACGCCCAAGTCCTTATCCATGGGGCTGCTCTCCATCCCTTCATCCCCCAGCCTGTATTAGTATCAGGTGATGCCCTGACTCATGTGCAGGACCTTGCACTTGGCCTTGCTGAACCTCCTGAGGTTCACATGGGCACACTTCTTGAGCTTGTCTAGGTCCCTCTGGATGGCATCCTGTCCCTCAGGTGTCAGCTACATCACTCAGCTTGGTGTCACCTGCAGACTTGCTGAGAGTGCACTCAGTCCCACTATGTCATTGATGAAGATATTAAACAGTACCAGTCCTAATACTGCAAGACTTTAGCCCACAGAAGGACCAGAAATTGATCTATAATACCTTCTACCCTGTAAGTGCCCTTTGTTTATCAGCGTTGACAGTTGCAGAAAACCACATTTCTTAAGTTTATATGCCAGTAGGATGGTGAAGAACTAGCCCTAAATCTAGACGAAGCAAGAACTAGACCTAAGGATTTCTCAGCAAGTCATCCCTTGGTCAGGGAAGATGGAATAGAGGAAAAACATCTGCAATGTAGGGAAAGATTCTGCATCTCTCCCTCATGAGTTACCAAGAAGCAGTAGGAGATCAACGGGCAGTATGAAAAGAACTGAAGGGCAAGCAGAAGGATGACATAAAGGTGAAATAAAGGGATTAAGAGACTCAAGAAAGAGAAGAAATAAAGAATAACTTGCTAAATTATTATGGACTAGTTAAGGGTGATAAAGCCTATCTTTAACCAAAGCTAAATCACCACCGAGAAATTCAATACTTTTCCCTATAACGGCAGCTGGATTAGGAGTAGATGCCACATTTCTAAGACCTGGCTTGGGAGGTGTGCGGGGAGCCTTGCAAATAGAAGTGGTGTGTAAGTAGTATAGATTATTAGTGTCTGTATGTTTCACGCTCTTGACAAGTCCTGTACAGATTAAAATCTCCAATGTTGTAAGTGGAAAGTTTCCAAACATGTTAGGAAATACTCCAGTTGGATATATCAGTCTAATTAGGTCCTATCAGACACCAGAAGTGTGTTAATGTGAAAATAAAGAAATATGAAAACAGTATAGCTTACCTCTAAAAAAACTTAATTAAAACAAAACATTAGAATGTTGACAAATAAAACATACTTTTTCATGAAAAGGGAAAAGTCTACTACAAACACCTGAAATTCACACATTATTTCATGGTTTAAAATAAGTTTTTTTCTAATAAAAATAACTCTTAAATTTGAATTCATTAATGCTACATAGCATTATATATAAATTATTTTGTTTTCAGATAGTATTGTCCTACAACCTATGCTCTTAATTTCTGATGAAAAACAGAGATTCACTTATACATACAGTGTTAGTAAAGCTCTGGTTTGATTTTAAAACTCCCTACCTAAACCTCATGCCCTATAATTAAAAAAGAAATCCTAAGTGTGAAATCTTTTGACTATAAGCTAACAGATTTGTAAAGTTTATCAGGTAAATATTCTAATACAAATGCCCTGTTTTGTCAGGTACTTGATCCATACTACATCAATAGCCTGAGTCCAAAGTCTGAGGCAAATAAAAGCATCAGTCAGCATAAGCCAGGCAAGAAAGATAACTACTTGTTGCTCCATTTTTAAAGTATGTTGTTACATATTAAAGAGCACTTATATAAAAAAGTGTAATAAAAAGGAGTCCTAGGAAAATCTCTCTCAATCATAAAAATGTATACAAAAAGAATGTGATTAGCATACAAGTAGGTTGATATTTTTTCATCCTGAGAGGAAATTTTCATGAGATGTGGGGCTTATGTCACGTTCTTTATTGATAATAATGATCCTTTTGTAGAGACAGCATTTGTAAATACTGACTGCACTAGATCTTGTTAATGCTAGTCATTGTAAGAGGCATATTACTCTGCTGATCAAGACCAATGAAATTCTTTTACACAGCATGTGAACTCTAACAGCAACAATTCCCAAGCCACAGCACTGCTTAGAACAAAGGCACGTACAATGAAAGGGGGGAATGGAGGCTGGGAAGAGTAAATTATATAGATATATTCAGTGTAAATATTCCTGCTTGACAAAGGAGCAGTAGAAAGGAAAGGATGCTGCTGAAACAAGAACTGAAGAAAGATCTTAAAAACTGGCTTTGTCCTTTAAGCACACAAACAGCAAAACCTGCCTCCTCCTGTTTGACTCTTCCTATACTCAGTGAATCAGGACTTTATCTTCCTTTTTGTGGTAAAGGATGTACACAAGATGTGTAGAACTCCAACATTCATTTCTCTTACTAACTGAAACAATCCACTTGGCCCCATATTTGGCTCATTGCCACCAAAAATTCATATGCATAGATTAATTTATTTACCTTTCAAAAGGCACAAAAAGAAATTATGGACATTAAAAGGACTGGCTAGTAGGGGAAATAAGGGACTATGGTGTGAACTTTTATTACCTGTACATGCCTCTGTCTGTTGGTACCTTAAAATTATTTTAAGCAATACCTCTGGTCAGTGTGTGAAAATACAGTACTCTGGACAATATAATTCTGGACTTGAAAATGCAAGGCAGGATGAAGCTATTCCACACCAAGTAAGAAAACTGTAAAATAGCCAATGAAACAAGTCAGTGAACTAACAGGCACAGAAAAACAAAAAACAGTGATCCAGTGGTTGATATGAGAGTGAACAAACTGTATTATCTACTTTGGTGATGGTGATTTGAAGACAGAAAGATGTCTGTATATGAAGTGCTGAGAACAAGTGGGCAAATATGGGCAGCACGGACACAGAAACTCCTTTCATTTAAATGTCTAGGAGTTTTTTGCTATGTTTGGAAACTAAGCAGCAGAAGTGAAAGATTTCTAAGGTAGAGTAAAATTTCTTCCTTTCTTGATAGCAACGACAGACCATAATCACAACTGGCTAGAATACCACAGAAACCAACTTACCTATTACATTGTTCTTTCAAAATAATTTTTTGTACTGAGCAGAAAATTAAAACAGAAAGCTTCAGCAAAAAACAAGCCATGGAAAGGACTCGAGCAGTAGTAGATATTTCATTCCCCTCCCTGCCTCTATTTGGTTGCAATGCAAATGTAGAGGGATAGCTATTTTTAAACAGTTCTATATAACTCCACAAGAGAGATTCCACAAAACCACAGAGAAAATTGCAAGAAAGCCAGGCAGTGAGTGAAACTTGGGTATGGACAGCACACTGACAGCTAATAGTTGAAAAAAACCCTAATTCTACCAGCAGTCACTACATATTAAGGTTTTCATTGCTGTCTGAAGCGTTTTCAGTTACGCTCACAAATAAATGAATTTAAAGTTACCATTTTCAATCTTTAAATAGATCCAGGCTCCTTCATACTCTTTTTAATAAATAGAAATAAGAAAAGAGATCTGGAAAAAAAATGCTGACTAAAATCTACTAATGATGGATTAAGCAGGTGTATTTTTATGAAAATGAGTATCTAAAGTGGTAATGACAACTGCACGAATTATAGATCTTATAAAAGTGAAAGTAAAAACATAACCAAAGATCCTTGAAAACTAACTAATGTGTTTTCTCCAGTGAAGCTGTTCCAGAGTCGCATCCGATCATCTGTACCAATGGTCAAGAGATGAAGTCCATCATTCATGTAGCATAAACCATTAACTCTCCCATTGTGAGCAGTGTTTGCTGTCAGGAAGAAGAGGTAGGTCAGATTTCTGCATAATTACCATTTTGTATAGATATTTTTATTTTAATGTTTAGTACTGAAAGTGCTGTTTAAATGATAACCTATCAGTAAATTAATGACTTAACTCTTGGTTTCTGAAAGTATCTGGTTGGTGTCTGGTCTGGAATAAGCAGATGGAGGACAGAAGTATGGACAGAGTAACGCCGGGCACAAGTACAGACTGGGAGAGGGTTGGCTGGAGAGCAGCCCTGCAGAAAGGGGTCTGGGGTCTGGTGTGATGCTGAGCTCAGTGTGAGTCAGCAGTGTGCCCCAGCAGCCCAGAGGGCAAACGGCACCCTGGGGTGCATCCAACACAGCGTAATCAGCCGGCCAAAAGCGGTGATTATCCCACTGTATTCAGCGTTGGGGCGGCCTCACCTCGAGTGCTGTGCGCAGTGCTGGGCCCCACCAGTTAAGAAGGATGTGAGGGACATTGAGTGTGCCCAGAGGAGGGCAACAAAGCTGGTGAAAGGGCTGGAAGGCATGTCCTGTGAGGAGTGGCTGAGGACTTTGGGATTGTCTGTTTTGGAGAAAAGGAGCCTGAGGGGCGACCTCGTTGGTCTCTGCAGCTTCCTGAGGAGGGGAAGGGCAGAGGGAGGTGCTGATCTCTTCTCCCAGGTATCCAGTGACAGGACACATGGGAATGGTTCAAAGCTGCACCAAGGGAGGTTTAGACTGGACATTAGAAAGTATTTCTTTACTGAGAGGGTGCTCAAACCCTCAAACAGGCTTCCTGGAGACGTAGTAGATGCTCCAAGCCTGTCCACATTGAAGAAGCATTTGGACAATGCCCTTAATAACATGCTTTAATTTTTGGTCAGCCCTGAAGTTGTCAGGCAGCTGGACTAGATGACTGCTGCAGGTCTCTTACAACTGAGTATTCTATGCTATATGGTTTACAGAGTACTATAAATGCATTCCATTGAGTGCACCCTGCAATCTTAAATATGTTAAAGTAGCAAAAATCCAACTCAGTGCTACCACAGCAAACCTAATTATGGTGCTCATAAATTAACTCACTGAAAAATGGATAATTTCTCTGCATTTCCATCTCAGTAATTTCTTGAATTTCAATTGATTTTGACAATTTTAAATTTAAATATCTATATTACCACACTACAATTTACATAGTATCTGTTTTAATATCCATGTTCTCTACTTACTGCTACTTCATATCCTCTAACTCTAGATTTTGGAAAATTAATTCGACTTCAGAGATTTGCATTTATTTTTCTACATGCAATTTAAGTTGCACATAGCAAGTTAGACTGACTTGTAGCTTTAATCACTATGATTTATGCTATGCAAATCTCTTTGTTCAAAGCCATGTACACCATTCCTACTTTGTGATTCCATTCCAAATACTATGTATTCCTACCTCAGAGTAGCAAGTGTTCTTGCTTTGGCCTGCCGAATTTTGTACAGAATTGACCAAAATTCATGCACTTTAATAGGAAGCTCAGAAGCTTCCCTTTAACTTAGGTATTGTTTTTTAGTATGGAAATGTGACCTGAAGATACATAAAAATGTTAATGTTGTAGCTAATAACTGATACAAGGCACCATTAATACATTTGACTGTCATTTAGCTTCCTGTAAAATTAATCATAAATTTTTACTCTGTTGTATACTTAATGCCGTATGAAAAGAATATAATTAATTTTACAGCACCACATATGAGAAAATACTCTAGAGGCTTGCATTGGAAGCAAGACTAATTTAAACAGGAAAAGGAATGCACTTTTGTGGGTTTTGTTTGTGTTGTCTTTGTTTTTAAAGGAAGGTAATTAATTCCGGGAACAGCGTATGAGTGTGAAGTGATTGCTGTTTATATGAAACCTAATCTACAGCAAGGATTAACTCTTTCACCCTTAAAATGGAGGGCAAAATTTCCCATTTCAGGAAGAAAAACATTTAGAAAAACAGTGTGGCCAAAGAGATCCCCTAAACAAGACCCCAACAACAAACACCGTCTTTATAGCAAAAGCAACTGAATGAAATTCCATGTCCTGTGTAAACACAGTAGGTAACAACTGGATTATCACTACTCTCTTTGGTCTTAGTATTGCATGTACTTATGAAATAAAAGAATGTTTCTAGTTACATATGGATTACCACCAGTTATATTCTGCATTACCTGTCTCAGAAGAGGCTTTGGAGTTTTCTCCATTGTACTGATCAAGTGTATTCAGACATCCAGATGCTCTCCTCACATCCCACAGTTTTACTCTACTGTCAGCACTAAGAAAAGCAGATTTGCATATATTAGGGAAATTGCGTGTACCTTGGTTCAGTAACTGTCTTTTACCAACCCACCTGGCACTCACTCTGTTTCAGCAACTATTCTGAATTACTCATCATGCAGTCAGTCAAGCCAACAGAATCTCATGAAAAAATTTTAAAGACAGACTTTGGACATTCATTTACATGTATTACTAGATACAGCTTGTACACTACAGGCACCTAGAAGTGAATCTTTGTCTACAATACAATACACATGCTTCTTTCTAAAACATAACACCCTTGCATTGTCTGTAATGGTTGTCCAGGAACTCAGGCTCTTGATATCACGTATCTATAGTACAACTGGTACAGAAGTTGGCTACATACATGTAGGCTGGATTAGTCTATACGCACTGTTGTCATAGTGCTATGGTAGAGAAACACCAAGAGCTTGCTTCTGCATGAACTCACTGGCCTTGTCTACCTTACTAGTGTGGCACAAGGAAAGAAAACTCAAGGTTCAGGCTGCCGTGACCCATTCTGGTTCCCAAGCTGCATGCTTATGCTTTGCTCACATTGCACCTTTGCCAGCAACAAATGCTATGATAACTTTTGGTACTAGGTGCATGCTTAGACAGCAACATTGCAGGAAGTGCACTCTGTATGGCACCTTGATGTGCAGCTTAATTTGAGTACTCCAGTAGTATACTTGTGTGCACCCCAAGACTCCCAGGTATAGATAGGAGGTAAATTCATAGAGAAGACTTCTCATGCAATGAGTCACCAGTGTAGATGTATTTACTGAAACTGTTTGGACAGTTCTCAGCAACTTAACTGGCCTTTTGTAAAAAACAAAACAAAACAAAACAAAAACATAAATCACTTTTCACACCAAGTGAACAAAAACTGCATATTTGTTCCACAGCTGGAAAATTTATCAAATCAAACTGCTTCTTAGATAAGCAGTCTAACTGAAGTTCTACACATTTTTTCCTGTGTGTTCTCAGGTTAGATCAGTGCATTAAGACCAGGAATACATATATACAGTATATATATAACAACTGACAAAGGTAAACCCAACTGATAGTCCTTATCTGTTCTGTGGCTGACAAAGCTAATGGCTAATTTGTTCTTTTGTGTGCTTCTCTGCTACAGACTGACTGTGTTAACCTCCAAGTGGTATTCCAACTGAGTATGCTGCTAACACATTACTTGCTGCAAACAAATATTCCAAGACTGTCAATAGAGAGATCACTGAGGTTTGAGCTGACTGAAGTGAGCAACAAACTGCAGATATTTCTTTGAAATATTCTTAAAAGGCACAGAAAGGGTTTCCTTCCTTATTATAAAAGCCTACAGTAGACTATTTTTTGTAATTAAGTTTCTATTGGATAATCTTTTCTAGTCAGTTCTAATGAGCAAGAAAGACCTTATAATCTTCTCTAGTGTCTGAAACTGAAGTGTGTGAAAGAGACACAGAAAATGTGTCTCTTCTTTGACTCTTCCAATTTCCTGCCAAAACTATGGAAGAGCTGGGTATCACAGAAATCTTAAAAAACATGTTTCACATAAAAGCCACATAAACCCCAAAAATGTATTTTCCCTCCCCTGAAGTGATCGCAAGCAAACATACAATTGTCTTGGAAAACAGTCACACCTCCTGATACTCAAGATTACTCCAAATTATCTTTTTAGCAGCACCAGTCATTTTCTCTTCAATACTTCATTATCTCAGTGTTTCTGGTTCTTGTCCATTATCTCAGCAGATATCAAAACTGAGTTATGTTATTAATATTGTTATGTTATTATTAGTTGAACTATAGTACTGAATTAAGTAATGGAGCTATAAGAAACATGTTTACCATGCAATTATCATAAGGTAAAATGACAACATGGGTAGATGCAGTCTATAGATACATGACTTTGAAGCAAAATGTTTTGGGAGACATCAGTAAGTCAATATTAATAAACTATATTTGCTACTATTTTTGTGGTAGAAAAACAAGGAAACAATTTTTCATTTGCTAAAGCAAACAAATTACACTGTTAAAAATTTCCCAAGTATATTGAGACTTTTTGAAGCTTGACATCAGAAGCCAAGGATATGCAATTCTGATATCAATTTATTAAAATTTTACTCTCAACTTATAAAACAGCCATTGTCCTCTGCAATTCAAAAGAAAAACGTGACAACCATACAACTGAGAAATGTAACATTATAATCAAAAGCTAACATATGCGAGAGTTACAGGAAAACCAAGAGGATCTTTCAGACTGAGAATGGCTGGAATGAAAAAAAGAATGGCCCAAGAATGTCAGCATACAATCCATACTCACCGAATTACTGCAGCTTGGAAAGTTACTCCCCATCAGCTAAGCTACCTGAGTTACGCTCTTTAACATAACTGAGTATGATTAACCAGGATTGTACTTTGAGCTAAAAATGTTTTACTTTCTTATAAAACAGATTATCAATGCATACACTAATAACCAGTAAGAAGTAAGTATCTCTATAATTTTCTTATACCTTTAAATGCAACTACTACCTCAAAATTCTGTATAATCTTGCTATAAAATAAGAGTCACTTGGATAGCTTTTCAGGCTTAGTTTTTCTAGGCAAGATCTATAAAATTGTGAATAGATTAAAGTAAATGATGAAGATTAACTTTAAAAGTGCATTAGAGTTGTAAAAAACATGCATAATGAATATATAAAATGTCACCATCAGACATTTTTAATGCATGTAACAGCCCAGCAACATCCCTACCTTGCCGTTGCCAAAATATATTCATGACGTGAGGACCAACACACCGCCAGTACTTCTTGCTTATGACCTAAAAATTACATGAAAAGGCTTCTACACACCATTTTATGTGAATAACTAAAAATAAAAGCAAAGACTTAGTTCTACAGGATCCACCAATCCAGAACAATGATCTAAATTGTAGACTGAATTCAAATTTTGTGAAAGTATATTGTTTTCAGGTAGAGGTTACTTATTCTTCTTGCTCAAGTGGGATTGCAGTGAGCTGGAAGTGATACATGAAATATTACACATGTATAACTTTTGATAACAAAGATGATTTTACTTATGCAAAACACAACACAGCCACAGCTACTGCATTTACTTTAAATATTATATTATTAAATTTTGTGTTAGAGCTGGTATTATCAGATACAGAAGGAATCTTCCATTTGTTTTTCTTCAAATCCTTACAAAGTGTTCAAAAAAAAAGTATATTTACCTTATGTACTTAAGATTAAGACTTCATTCAGCTTGTCCCCAAATATTCCTGTCCTGAATTTGGGATTTCCCACCCCCCCCCCCCAATTAGGTTTTCAGATATTAAGATAAATGTCTTCTTAGCAATGTCATACTCAGTGCAGCTGAGCTGGCAGCTGGCAATTAATACATGTATAGGAAGTATAAGATGTCCTAAATGTCAAGACTGCAATCATGCTTCATGTAATAGAAACACATTGCTGAAAAATAAACCAGGTTACACGTATACATTTCTGCTAATGCAGTTTAGAGCTATGTGCACCACCTTGTTTCTGGTACATCTTCTAGCAGTTGGTTTTCCATTACCTGAAGTAATCAATGTGTAGGATAAGTGAAAAAAAATCTCAATAATACAAGTACCACAAGGCTCAGGGCAGAGACATTTATTTGGCTCCATTAAGTAAACTACAGCCAAGAATTTAGCTCCATTTCAGCTGCTAGAGTTATCCTATATGAAAAATATTCATACCTATTTTCAAGACACTATTGAGTGCTTCAAGTTCCATAAAAAATGATTAGATTACATTAAGTGGAGGACAATCTGCTTCCATTTGTTCCTCTGATATTGCACTTGAGATAACTGTACCAGGATGTGTACAAAGACCCAACCAGCTTGTGCCTGGAAAACACTGAACTCTTGTGTCAAAATTAGGAAGTGCTGGTCTAAACCAAACTGATTCTCTAGAGAACTATTTTTGTGTCTGCACTCTGCTCTCAGTTCTAAAAACAGAACATTGAGATGCCCATTGAGGCTGACTCAATTGAGAAGGACTTAATGGTTTAAGCTCTGCATCACACCAAATCAGCTAGGCTGCTTTTTGATTTGAGTTGGCCAGTGAAGAAAGGGCTGCATTTGCACCTTGCTGTGTCTGAGCTAACACTTCTCTACAGTTTTTACATCAGATCTGCCTCTTGCTCTGCTGGTTTGAAGCATGAAGATTTACCTTGTAATTGGCTTCACTTGAGCACGTGTATATATACTCATACTCCAAAATGTAAACATTAGAAAAGAAGCATTAAGAGCAAGTTCTCATTAAGTGCAAGAAGTAATGGATTATGGAACAATAAACTATGTTTACTGAATTAGGTAAATTCAAAGGATTAGATACCGCCCTTCTATACAAGTAGTATCTTCCCTGTTATACAGAAAATTCTAAACAAACACATGCAAGCCCCTCCACAGGATATTTTGTTAAAAATAATGAAGGTCTTTTGTTTTGGCATTTTGTCATTATCATTGTTCTGGGGATGGTCTTTTTTAAAAAATCAAACAAAAAACACAAACAAACAAACAAACAAAAAAACCAACCCAGCACCCCATATTAAATTTCCATGAACACAAAACCAATGCCTACATTTAACCATGTAATAAATACTAATCACTATTGATTAGATGATAAAAATGCCAAAAAATCTATAATAACTGTTCATTAATATTTGTATCCTCCAAATCATTAGCATTAGACCAACATCCAGAAGAATCTTTTGCCACTGTGTAACTTTCATAACTGGAAATAACTTAGTTATGTTGGTTACAAAGAATACATGGAGGAAAACAAGTCCTGTAAAGAAACATTGTGTATAGAGTAGTTATTGTTTAACATGTTTCAAACTAAGAATTACCCTCCAGAATGTGAGAGGAGGATCCAGATTTCAAGTCACAGAGATGTACTTTGGGGCTTCTGGTACCAACTGTAACAAGAGAAACAAAGACAGCTAAAAAAACCCCAGCATCAGAAAGAACAACAACAAAATCTTAGCAATGATGAAGAAATAGAAGAAAAATGTTAGCTTTGTAACAGTTATTTAGTTAGAGCAATGAATTCTATTAATAGAATTAATAGAATAACTAATTTTACATTTTTTTCTAAGTAAATTTACCATATAACAAACAAAATTTAGAAATAGGGTAAACAGGACAGTACTTAAACTTAAAAATTAAAAATATATCCTATTTTTTTTTCTAAACATAGTTAAATTGTGTACATGTAAGCAATACACACCCCCCTATTTACACAATTTACTGTGTTTGGATCTAATAACCTTCAAATGCTAACTTATGTAATGAAAAGTAATCTAATTATAGCTAGGAGTTTTTATCTAGAAGGAGAATTGATTGATACATTACTTCAGAAGAACAACCATGATATTCTCATTGATATCTGACTAACCAATAATATGTTATTTTACCAATGACCTTATGTCTTAAGACTCAAATTACATAAAAATAAGACAGAAAGGAAAAAAATGTACAGAATATTACTTGCTTGTTACTGTAGCCCCAAAATACATAGGGCATTTCTTTAAAACACAAACATACCTGCTAATAAAGAATGTTTTGTAGCAATTGGAGACATGTGATGGCTATAAACTACTCCCTCAAATTTCAAGGTCTCTGCAGGCTGAAAATAAAAAGATTAAATGAATCACAGCACAAGTATGTTAACAGAATATAAATCCTCATTATTATTTTTCAAGTAACAGCTACAAATGGGACTAATACAAATATTACTATTTATATACTAACAATAACTCTCCTGGTTAAAAATCAGATCATACAAACATCGCAAAGTAAGTCTGTTTCCAACACTAGAACAACTATGACAGAGATCAGAGGTTACCCAAAAGGAAGACCACGAAAATTGGCTAATCAGAAGCATGAATGGAAATTATTAAAAAGCTATCAAAAATTTACAAGCTATCAAGAAAAAAAATCAGCAAACAAGAAGGTTATAATACAGAGATATAAGTCAACAACAAAGAGGTACTAAGACTAAATTTAGAAGCCCATTGTCATGCACAAACATCACATCTTAAAGTCCTCAACAAAACCCCAAGACAGCTCCATACAAAATTATTAGCTTCCTTGTAAGTGTTAAACTACTGAAATAATATTTTCTTTAATAATCACTACAATTACTTTCAGGCACAATCGCTTTTGTTATTGTAAAATACTCTATATTTAAAAAAAAAAATCCTTAAAACTAAGTTGTCTCTGTTTTTAAACACACCATTTGGTGGCAGAACAGGTCAATCCACAGCCTTCACATATACACTGTGTCTTTCAAGTGATGCTCACAGAACTACCTGGAAAGTGAACTGAAATTTGCATTTACAAGAAGATTTAGTAACTACAAATACAGCTTCACATCTCACTAAAAAAGGTCAAAATTTATTCTCGATTGTGTCTGTAGGATGACAGACGTAAAAAATTATTTCACTATGCGTGAAAAAAACACTCAAACAGCATCAGAATAAATACATTAATACATTCATACCAGAAACAGGATAAACTACAGTCATGAATTCCTAGTTCAACAGTTAGATGTGAGGATTAGAGAGTCAAAGCAACCTCAAATCCTACAGTATCTGTTTACTTTAATAATGTCAGCTACACTGGTTAGCATTTTCTTAAGTTTCTTATTCTCCACCAATTTTTAGAAATGGTGTCTATAATACAACAGAATTTTGGACCTAATGCTCCTGAATGCCAAGACCACCAGTCCTTCAAAAACAGTATTTAGGCCTTGGTTACTAGAAATAATTAGCCCTGCTGTACATTACCATTACATTCAATCCCCAAGAATGAACTTCAGACCAGTCCTCGGTTGACAAAGCATAAGTTCAAATAGCTGCATTTCTGTTCACAGCAAAAAGAGAAGGGAATTGTCTCAAGGGTTTCAAGCTGTCATACAGTTTAGACATTTGGGTCTTCAAAAACAGACAGGTACACACCAAGGTATGCATGACTGTCAGAACCACACCACCCTGCTGCTGCCCCCACAGTTCTAGCAATCAGCTGGTTTTCATCTTTCTGGATGACTGGTTCTGTTGAACTCTAGAACTGCATATGAAGAATGAATAACACGTATACAAAGAAGCCTGCAAGCTGTAGAAATTCTCTTACCTGTAAAATATTTGCATCCCATATTTTCAAGGTCCTGTCAAACGAGCTGGATGTAAACATGCCGGTGTCGTGAGGATACCACTGAACCATCTCCACACTGAATTTATGTACATTAGGATGGTTCCTAAAATCAAGGAAAAGATTCTAATTGGTTAGAGTCTTGATATTTGATGATAAGTTGAAAACAAACATTATTTTTTAATTTGTACTGATTTTTTCAAGAAGAACTACTTGGTTTTGGTGCCTCAATTTTCAATCAATCAACATTAATTACTTTGAGTAGCTCTCACTTGAAGGAACTACAGATTATTTACCTTTTCAAAATACTGTATCTCTAGCATATCTCAAGTTAAAACACTCACTCTGATGCATAAAAGGCCCTAATGTCTTTTGAAATTTTTAAATTCTGATGTTTAAAGTGAGGGCCTAACACTACAAACCATTTATGCTTGGAAATTCATGTATACTGAAGTCACCAGATAGTAGTGGAGTGAGTTACTGAGAGTTAATTATTTTCACATTCAGAAATAAACTAACAACAATATGAAACTTTCAAGTCAACTATGCATAGTAACAGAACGTAATAGAATTATACATTAACAGTGGTGGGAAGGAGACTCCAGAGCCAATCTTGACAGCTCAAGGATGATTCAACTGACCAGGCTCTGACCAATACAGGTTGTTTCACATACCTCCTAGGCCACTCATACCTGAGCTGGATCCAGATTCAGTGCCTAAAACCATCTTCCCAGACTCAGAAGTACCATGCTGTTGTGGGTTAACCCTAGGTAGCTAAGCACCACCATAGGCGCTTGCTTACCACCCCTACCGCCCACAGTGAGATGAGGGAGAAAATCCAAATGGTGAGAAAACTTGTGGGTTGAGATAAAGACATTTTAATAAGCAAATGAAACAAAACAACTCAAAGAAAAACAGGTGATACAAAAGCAATCCCTCATCACAGGCTGATGCCCATCTAGACTCCAAGCAATGGCAACCCCTGGGAAAGATCCCCTGAGTTTTAATGCTGCACATGACATTGTATGGTATGGAATATCAATACCTCTTCAGTCAATTCAGGTCATGTGTCCCACATCTGTGCTCTCTCTCAGCCTCCTTTCCACACCTAGCCTATTTGCTGAGGGGGCAGAGTAAGGAACAGAGAATGCCTTGACACTACACAAGGACTGTTCAGCAATAGCTAAAACATTGGTATGTTATCAAGACTGGTCAAACCCAAAACACAGTGCCATACAAGCTACTATGAAGAAAATTAACTCCATCTCTGCCAGATGCAGCACACATGAACAGTCCAACTGGCTCCACTCACAGCTAGTGAAGGTCTCAAGATTTCTGCGCTTCAGCTCTTATTTCTGCATTGTTCTCTCAAGTGTTCTGGCCTCCAAAGGAGCCACTACTGCAGGGGTATCACTATGTTAACACAGATGCAGATCTCCTCTATAGATCCGTGTCATGGTTTAAACCTATTCCACCCAGCAGCCAAACACCACACAACTGCTTGCTCACACTCCCCTGACCAGGGGATAGGGAAAGAATTGGAAGGTAAAGGTAAGGAGACTTGTAGGTTGAGATAAAAACAATGTAATAACTGAAATAAAATTTAAATAATAATGGCAATAATAGTAATATTAAAACATACAAACAAGTAATGCACAATGCAATTGCTCATCACCTGCTGACCAATGTCCAGCCCATTCCTAGTTAACAATCCCAGAGGAGAGAAAATCCTAAAACTGCAAGCCCAGAAGAGAGAGTGGGCAAGCTTCCCCGTCAGCCTTTATCTATATTCCAAGCATGACACTGTATGATATGCAATATTCCTGTTGTCAATTTGGATCTGGTGCTTTGGCCATGCTTTCTCACAGCTTCTTGTGCACCTGCATACTCGCAGGACATAAGAAGTTGAAATGTCCTTAATTTCTTAGGAAGAGCTAAACCCATCAGTATATTATCAATGTTCCTCTCGTACCAAATCCCATGCTGAATTTAAAATCCAGAAGTATTCTAGCTACTAAGAAAAATGATCTCTATCCCAGTCAAAACCAGGACAATCTTTACTACACTTAAGCTAATAAATCCTCCTGCTTGCTTGGGGTTCTAGAAAGCACAGAAGACATTTTTAAATAGTTAACCCAAAGCCAGCACTGACAATACTAAGCAAGCTATTGAGCAGTTGTTGAGCTTAGTTTAATAATTCCTGCATTGCTTATCTCTGAGGCTGTCCTGGGTTTGAGTGGTGAGTTTTTTGGTAGCAGGGGAGGGGGCTATAGGGGTGGCCCCTGTGAGAAGCTTCTCAAAGCTCCCCCAGCTCCAAGTCATCCCTACCTCTGCACCAAGGCTGAGCCAATCAGCTGCGCCTCTGCGATAACGTATTTAAGAAGGGACGTGGTGACGGGCAGTCGGACTTGTGAGGAGGAGTTGCTGCAGCTGCGTGAACACCAAGGTCAGTGGAGGAACGGAGGAAGAAAGGAGGGGGGAGGTGTGCTGGAGCAGAGACCCCCCTGTATCCTGTGGTGAGATGGCAGGGCAGCCCCCCCTCAACACCTGTGGAGGTTTATGGTGGAGCAGACACATTTATGGACTGTGTTTTTCACCTGGAAGATCAAGGTGCTGTGCCCGAAGAAGGCCGGAGTCTTGTGGGAAAAGGCAGCCCCTGCTGTTGTAGTTCAGCACTGGGAGGATTGCAGCATGCAGGTGAGTCCCATGCTGGAGCAGTGTGGGGAACACTGCGGCCCATGGGAGGGACTCACATCAGATAAAGTTTGTGGAGGACTGTCTCTTGTGAGAGGGGGACCATGATGGAGCAGGGGGAAAAGTTCCAGGATCTCCCCCCACTGAAGATGGAAAAAGTGGCAGCATTGACTGCACCCCCCCATTCCCTGCCCCTGTGCCACTGGGGGAGGAGGTAGAGATATCAGGATCAGAGCTGAGCCCGGGAAGAAGGGGGGGGGGGGGGGGGAAGGTGTTCTCAAGATGTGGCAGTGCTTCTCACTGTCCTACTCTGTTACGTGTTATTAATGTCTGTAATAAATGTATGTTCTTTTTTCCTTCCCCTAACGAGTCTGCCTTTTGCTTGTGCCCATAAAGGGGGATTTTTTTCCCATCCCAGTCCTATCTCAAACCCCAAGCCTGGCTCTCTGTCCCTTCTTATTGCCGGAAGAGAAGGGGGAGAGAGTGGCTGTGTGCTGTTTGGCTGCTGACCAGGCTCAAACCACGACAGAGGCATACCCTAGAACAAACTGTTACTTTGCCACACTGCTAAAATCAACAGATTTTGTGCACTTACTCTACAGGGGGTCAAGCTAAACATCTTCAGTACCTGCAGTGCCAGAGAAATCAAGCCTGACTCAATGTGAACTTATTCCTGCAGAGGCATTTGTATGCACTATGCTGAAAAATCTGAACTCATGGAATTAATCATCCTGATACAATAAATATAAGTGCACAACAATGCACTGTGTTCAGCACTGCACTAGAGCAATCAATTCTTGCATGGTCCAGAAAGCTGAGGAATGAACAAAATTCTTGAGTAGCTCTGCAGGAACCACCTTTGATCTGGCTAGGCTTAGTAGTGGCCACATGTCATTCAGCCTGGCATCATGTGTCACAGCTGTATGTTATTCCCAGTTCATTCTATATGCAGTATTTTCCCCCATTATTCTGAGTATCCCAACTTTCTCTACCAAAGAAAAATACAGAATTAATTATATGGATAGTAAGGCCAATGCCATTCATTCTTCCTAGGTGGGTTTTAAGTAGAGGAGACTAGCTTCTACACAAGCATCAGCTATATATTGCCTAGAAACTCATACTGTTCAGTTGTACTCTCAAATGTCAATTTTCACCACCTGACAGCATGGATCATATGAAACTGTTTAAAGTTAACTCCCAATAAAACAAGGGAAGTTTTTGTTTTTTGCAATCGCGGCCCTACATTCTGTAGTAGAATTTCTGACAGAGAATGGCCACGATATTTTGTTACAGGGTTTGGACAATCCAGGCCTGAGATTAGACTGCTAACAACACCTGTGTTATGAGAATGACCTTGAAGGGCTGTGCTGTGAGGAACTGCATCTGTTAATGAGGAATTTTCCCAGCTCTGTATCTGGCTAAGCTAAGCACAAGTATGCAGCAAACTGCAAGATGCTTGCCTATCACAGTTTCCCTTTGGGTGTGTGATAAGTTGCTTATGACCAATAATCAAGGGGTATGGGGCGCGTGAACAGCGGGTGCTTGCTGTGCAAAGGATATAACCAAGTGATTTGGGCAATAAAGGGGGATGACATGTAGCGGCATCGGTGTGATTGTTGTTACTCGGGCCACTCTCTGTATTATTATTATTGGGACCCTCTTCACATTCTAGATAAGAAACAGTAAGTAAATCACAGCTGACCATCACAAATCACGTCCTCTGCTGTTCTAAACTACTAGGCCCTCAGCAAGCCCCATTCAGAGTCCATTCAGACATAGCTTCGAAGGGCCTCTACCAAGAGCTTAACCTTTAAGCAATTTCAAGACCAGAGTTGTGCTGTGCCTTGCAAACTTGGAGCAGAGGCAAAATTTTCAACATGCCATTATCATATTCTTTAAATATAGGAGCCAGACGCATGTCTTACTGGTAATTATAAATTCATTTATGGTGTTGGGAACTCCACGCAAATAATATTCCAGTATCTGAAGCTATATCTGTAGCTAATTAGCTACCACAAAGGATTTTAAACATACTAGGAAGCTACATGAATATTGGGAATAAATAATTGGGGAAAAAATCCTACTATGGTTACTTTAAACAACAACAACAAGCCTATTATTTAGAACTCTGTCACACAAAATCAGATTCTAGTAGTATGATTTATACCTCAACTGATAAGTAACTTATGTAGGTGCAGCTTTTAACACCTACTCAAGAAACAGACCACCAACTAACTATGCTCATAAACAGAATTTTCAAGCATGGAATATTTCTACTGATCTAACTGAAGTCAATGATGGCATGATTTTAGCACAGATTTGTCAGTTTTTATGCTGTGTCTTCTAAGTATGTATGTCTTCAGTTTGCTGTTTCTGTTTCAGATTTCATTTCAGTTTTGAGACTTGGGAATGTACTTAAGAACAAGTAATGACTATACAGAATCAATTACTTCTGTTCCAAGAGTTCAAGCCATCACCACTTCCCAAATACAGCTTACTTGCAGCAGATTCTGTTCCTCCCCATTTGTTTTGATGCACGTTCTAGTACCCTTTTTCCTTCTTATTGTACAAGATACCATTTAGGCCTTTCATTGCCACAAATCTGTTCTTGTTGATCTTACTCATGAAGGTCTTAACCCTAAATAATTTGAAGACTGGGAAAAAATATGGGGAAAACAAAGCTACTAATCTTTTACACAGTACGATAGATCTTATAATAAGTCTCAGAAAGTCCTAACCTACTAGGTAACCTTACTATCTAAATACAAGGGAAAAACAGCTTTTGCTAGAAGACATAATGCCCATGATGGGCAAATTTGTACTGATGGTAGGGAAAGCCTGACAAATCAGTGAAGGCTTTGAGTCTTTATGTAAATTATACACAGTGTGGTAGTACCCTCTACTTTAGAAAAATGTCCCATCTTTGTCAGTAATACACCTGTCTTCATTCAAACATGTTCTTAAGAAGTTCTGTATTAATTACTTCCACACCTGGTGAACTTAAAATAGCCATTAGTAAAGCTGGGACCAAGGGAGAAGGGAAACAAGAACTGCAAATTTGTATTAGATTTTTTTCCAATCAGATGAACAGGGTTATACAAGGATAATTTTCACTTTGATTAAGCACATTTATTCAAAGATACACATATGCACTGGGGGATACATGGAATATTTCTACAACAGTCCCAAAATTGCTCTCACTGGCATAGAGTCAACAAGTTTCAACATGAAACAATAAGAAAACTCACAGCTGAGAAACTGTGACCTGGAAGAGGGTTGTTTTGTTTTGGTTTTTTTTTTTTTTTTTTTTTTAAATTCTTTTTTCTAGTGTTAAAACATTAAACTGGAATACCAACTTTTTTGTGGTGTCTACAGCAACACAAGCCTCTACTTGAGTTTCCATATGAGTCCAATTAATATCCTACATTTTAACTTCTGATCTGCCAAAGATCTGCTCAAACAATAATGGAGTCATTGTACATATATTATAAGTGTTGAAGTACACAAATCAAGAAAAACAATTACTTCCTGTTACTTAGTAAATCACAGAAATCCTCACAAGGTTTCTTGCTGTTTTTTAGCACGTCAAAAACCATCACGCTAGCCCACAAAGATTTGTGACACTATTTTATACAGCCTTTTTATCTTAGAAATAAGAACACATTCAATTTGTGAGTTTAATGCTAGTCACACATGAGAAATCACTATGAAGTTTTAATAGAAATTTTGAGTACCTACCTTCCAACAGAACAAATGGCTTTACATACATAGCATGGTTTCCTGCTCAAGTTTTCAAGGTCATAAAGTACAATAACACCATCTGATCCACCGGATAACATGCTGAAAGTGTCAATAAAGCACACAAGTTACAACACTCATGACCTTAATATAACTGAGTGTTCATCAAGAAAATCCATAGTACTAAAACACAGTGAAGCACGCACATACATTTTTAACATCTAAAGTATATACTTACTATCTTCCCTCAACACAGTCAATATCAAGGGTGTTGATACCAGTCTCATGTATTCTTTCCACATCTCTATCTTTATTTAATTCCAAACTTAGAACCCTTAAAACAACAGGAAAAAAAAAAAAATATGAACAAGAATAGAATTGTACAATGTTACAATGTAGCTCTTAACAAGTCAAACCATAGATTTGTGCTTCCTCAATGCATTTACCTCATCACCATTATTTTTTGCAAAACTAGACTTGCAGACACGCTACAGGGCTAGAAAGAAGTCCTGTGAAGTTGGCAGAAAAAATATTTCATTCTTTATTTTGTTTAGAAGTTACAGGGAAAATAATTATGTAAAATGGGCTCAAAGAAATAGAAAAACTGTATTATTTGGAGTCAAAGTGAGACAAAACCGTAATGCAATTACTCACAACAAGTATTAGTTACTTTGAAGTTTCATCACATGATGGCCTTCCAAGTCTCATCTTACTTGGAACAACGGACACCTGGTGGACAGATTAATTAGTTCAGCATTTCCTTTAAGGAAACTGTGCGTTATGTTTTCTGTAATATTAAACTATGCTATCCACGTGATGAAGTTTCTAAGAGAAACTTTTCTGAGCTGCAATTCGTATCTTGTACTACTTAGCAGAAGCCTGTATCTTTAAATATGCCCTTACATAGTCAAAGAGACAGATTCTGCTTCCTTTAAACCATACTAGCAGATATAAAATTAGCCTTATAAGATGATCAGAACTTCCTACAGCACTATTTTGTAAAAACCACTATCAACAAAAACGTAGGTAAGTAACCAAAAAGCTGTAAGGCAAAGTGATCCTACTAAGCTTCAGTCTGACTGGCAAAAAATCTCGGTATGAGAAGCTTCAGCTGTTACAGGCAGACCCCCCAACAGCATGTCATGTAGGCATGCCTCAACGGCAGCAAATAACTTAATTTTTTTTAAAAGATGCGAAATACAATCATGCATTGCCGCATGCAAATGGAAACACATGATGAAACCATTAAGATAATGGCAGTAATACTGAGGTTACAAGCTATCGCCCTGTGCCTACTCAGCTCATCCCAAGGCTGATAATACACACACACTTAAACAAACAAAAAATCCACGGGAAACTCCGAGACGAAGCACGGCAGAGGCACGACAGCCTCCCCCGGCGAGCCCAGGCCAGCCCCGCAGGCTCCGGCCTCCTCCGCTCCCGAGCACCGGGCAGGGTAGCAGCAGGACAGACCGCGGCTCTCTCGGCCGGAGCGGCCGGCAGCGGGGGCGGCCCTGAGCCCCACCTCGGGCGGGAGCAGCTCGGTTCAGCTCCGACGGAGCGGTGCGGTGCGGGGAGGGGCCGGGCGCCGCCGCTGCCGCCTCCCGGGCCCGCGGCGGCCGCTCTGGGGCCCCCCCGCGCAGGGCGGCCTCTCCCCAGCCCCAGCTCCCCACCGGTCCCCGCTACCTCCGGGCGGCCTCGTCCCGGCGCAGCCGCACTGGATCGTCAAGCCCGAGCTGGCGAGCCCAAAGGGACGCCAACATGGCGGGACCATGAAGGCGCTCGATCCGAGACGGCCATCTTGCGCCAGGGGTGGAAGGAACGAGCGCGGGGCCGGCCGCCCGCCAATGGCGAGCGGCGCTGCTGGCGCGCCCGCCGTCGGGGGGCGGGGCCGGGCGGCGGACCCGGGGGCGGTGGTGAGCGCGGGCAGCCGGCCAAGGCGCGGGGCGCGCGCGCGTGACGCCGCACGCCGAGGGGCGGGGCTTGGGCGGCGGCGGCGGCCTCGGGACCCACGGTTCCCTCCGCGCTCCCACCGGGATGGGCCGGCCCTGGCAGGCCCTGCGCGCCCTGCGCCTGCGGCTCTTCGGGCCCGCCAAGGAGCTGGTGGGCACCGACCAGTTCGGCAACAAGTACTACCGGGTGCCGAAGCACGAGACGCGCGCAGGTGGGGGCGCGGGGCCCGGCGGGGCGGCGGCTGTGGGGGAGGGGGTAAAGGGGGTGCTGTGGGCGCGCGAGCGCTGAGGCGGGTGCGCTGAGGGGGGAAACCCCCTCGCGCCGAGCATCGGAAGGTTTTGGAGTGTGGCTGTCGCCCTGTCTGTCGTAGGCAGCGGTAAACAGATTGACTCTTCTTGATAACTCGGAGCGCTTCTGCGTATCCATTGCTGTAGCTATGCTTACTGCACTCCTGAGGGAAAAGACTTTTCTGGGTTTCTGCCTGAGTTCCAGGAGCCCGGGCGCTGTTACAGCGTGTCCTTACGTCATTCTCCACAGATGATACGCTCGCGCTGCGCCGTTATATATCATTTATTGAAGGCAGCTTCCCCGGAGGTGTGTGTCTTAAGTGCACACGTGTGGTCGGTGACCCTGTCGCGACCGCCCACAGTCAGCAGGGCGGTTGGCTGCTGCTGCCCAGTTGCAAGAAAGAGCGACTTCTATGTGAAGGAAAGGGTGCAACTTTTTTTATATTTTGCAGCCCTATTTCATCTCCCTGCACGGGGTTTGTTATCAGCCTGCTGTATATCCCGTATGTTTTGTACGACCAGAGCAACCCCAGGCTGTGGAGACTTTTGACTTGATGTTCCTCAGAGTACAAGGAAATTCTGAGGCTGTGCAGTCACTTAATTCATTCCTAAAAGGAGGGAAGAGAGGGGCGCACACCTTCCCTCTGGAAACATGTAACGTCTTCTGGAGTTATTTTGCCTTCCGAGCAGTTCTCTTGACCTGTTCTGCTGTGTGACCCATTTGTCAGCAGTGTTGCTTTCTTCTGGGTTAATATGACGGTGTAGCACTTCCAGGCTTTCTGCACCTTGCTTTCAGCTTTTGCTCTCCTCACTGCTGAGGCTCATGGTGTCTTTGAGGGATGTGCAAAAGGCTGTGTCTTTTATCACACAGGAAGCAGTAAAAAGTACAGTCAGATTTGTTGTGTGTGATTACTGCAGTGTCAGTCCTTATTTACCAGTAAAAATTACTTGTTTTATCAGAAATACTGGCAGTCTTTTTCTTGATATTTGAATTTATGCTGGCATGGCTTTCACAGTGAAAGATCTCTGCTGAAACTCTAAGGCTGATCTCTGTATTATACGGTATTTGTAGTGACAGGACAGGGGAGGTGGGATTTAGCTATTGAACTCAGCAGGAACACAGTATAAGAGCTTTTAAAGTTAATAATTAACTGAAATCCACGTGTCTAAGAACACATTGTGGTAGCCTTTGTGTTTCCCAGTTTGTCTTCAGATGAACTGTAGGAATACTGAGCATAGCACTTCAGAGGTGAAGTTACACTGATTTTGCCTTGAGCAGGGAGGGCTGACTCTTAAATGCTCTGCAGTTGCAACTCTAGCAGAAGTCAGTGAGAACAGCACTTCTGTAAATCTTAGAGCTCTTGAACATTAAGTCTATTTTAGTGATAGCACAATGCAGGTCTACTGAATTATCAGTACTCATCTGTTACTGGATTTTCCTCTCTCATTCTCCCACTTGGCATACTTCCTTCGTCTTGATATGTTGAAAATTCTGCACCAGCAGTTTGCACTGGTGCAATGTTTTGCTACCATCAAAAGCGAGAGGTCTTCTCCCTGTTTGCTTTCTTGCTGTTGCTGACTTTTCACTGTCATTTATTTGACCTTCATGTAGAAAACTTGAATAGAAAAATGGATTAAAATGACTTGAATGTCATAAACTGTTCGTAAAGAGGATGTCAACCAACTTGAGCTGGACACCCTGTCAGGGGGTAGAAGCGGGGTGAGCTCTGCGAAGATGGAGTGGTGGGCTGTTTCTCTCTCTTCCTCCTGTTGCTGCTCAGAGATGGAACTGGCCCAGCTGTGCCGGGGCAAGCCAGAGAAAACAAGAACCTTCTGGAACATCCTACTGTGCAGGTGTAAAAAGACTATAGAAAGATGACACCCCCACCTGTGCTTTTGTCCACCCACCACCTGGGGATCAAGCTTGCTACTCAACAACAGCGTGGGATCTAAGGGGTGGTGATTCCCATTTTCCTATTCCCCTCTTTCCTTTCTCTCTCTCTCTCCTTCTTACATGCACTCAGGTATATATGTTTTGTATGAATTGTGACAGGTTATTGGGAAAATAGTCTCTTGCCAAAGTGCCTTTATTTGTTTGTGGAAGGGTATCAGTTGATCATTACCAGACTCTCTCCATGCACTCACTAGACCTGTCAGTTAATAAAGGTAGCAGCTAAATTGTTCCTGTGTCGTGACCCAACCCTGCCCTACTGTTCAGCAGAGCAGAGACGGGATTGTCCCCTGGTATTGGATTGTCACCTGGTACACAGGCCCTCGGGGAATTCAAAAGATTCACCCCCTTCATAACCCACCGAGTGGAATGATTCTTTATGAAGAGTAAATTGCAAGCTAGAACTGGCGCAGAAGTGGGAATGAAGAGGATGAGCTGTTAGATAGAATAAGGTTATACAAGATGTCTTGAAACAAAGTGAAGAGCCAAAACTTTTAAATTGTCTCTGTTACTTCCTAACTATATTCACCCATTTTCTTCTGCCTTCTACTAGTTTGCTGTTAAGCTTTTTAATATGCATTTGATTGGGTTGAGAGGAAATATCTGGGAAAAATCGTGTATCAAAAAAAAAAAAATTAAAAAACAAAATAATAAAAAAGAAAGTGTCTGGCAAAGGGCTAATGCTTTATTCACTCTCCCCATGCTTCTTTTCTATCTTTGGAATGAAAGTAAGGGAAATTTGGGATACTCAAAAGTAATAGCACATCTTCCATAAATGTATTAATTCACAGTTAAGTGTCCCTTATTGTCTTTTTTAATGTAACTAGAGAACAGGAGAGTGCATATGAAAAATACTACTACTAGAATTCTGTGTGCAAATACTACTTCTGAGAATTCTGTTTAATTTACTGATGTATATTTGACATTGTGCACTAACTGTGGCTTTAGATGATCTATAAAAACCTAAGCCTTCAGCATCAACAGAATTAAAGTATTCTGAAAGAAAAACTTACCCACACAAAGAAGAAATTGATGGTGAAACTTTTTTCATGAAAGTGTTCAAACATTGCTTTTTATTCTGTTGATTTGTTCTGTGTTTATTATTTGATAGAACTCACTGTTACAGTCAGACACACTTGACAATGAGATGTGGGATGTAATAATTATTAAGAAGGGAGGGACATAAGTAGAATGAAGAAAACTTACTTGAGGAAAACGGGCTTCAATAAGTTCAGAAAACAGAATAGAAGAGATCCTGTGAGTATCTAAGAAGAATAAGTGAAAATGTATGTGGGGCAATTCATACCTGTACCTATTCCAGCTATTAAAGGCATGAGTACAAATTACCCTAATGTAGATGAAGTCTAAGAAGTATAGCAATAAATTAATCTGGCTAAATCATGAGGTTTTAGTCACCTCAAAAGACAAAAACTCTGCATGAATCAAGTTAACTGGCATGGGTGCTGCAAAAATAGGGAAACAAGTAATAACTCAAAAACGTAGTCACAATGTAGTAGTGAGTGAGAACTGATGTCAAGTTGTTGATTTGACAAGATAGGTTCTTATGAAAATTGTTTTCTGAGTGGACAGAACTTCAATGTTTTTTAAACCTTTTTGTGTACAAAATTTAAGACTGTAGATTATGAATTTGCTATGTGGGTGCAAAGCAGGTTGGAAACTGATCTTCTGATAGCCAGAAATGTTACCATCAGCTGGAGGGGAGTATCCAGAGTGATCCAGAAGCTGTCTGTTGAAGTTCAGAACTACTCAAAGTTTTTATTAGTGATTTGGATGAAGAACAATAAAGTATTTTGATTACATTTGCAGGGAAAACTGTACAGGAGGAAACTAGGAGTAGCTGTGTGCGTCTTATGGCAGATCAACTGTCATACAATTCAACTGGGGTATTAACTGAGATAAAGCTATGCTTATTTCTGAACAAAGTACATATGATTTAGTGGTTAAAGGGTTCTGAGAACATGGACTTGCACAACTGACAAATTTTCTGTAGTACAGCATGTATTGTGTTAGTACTATAACAGATTTCATTTCTGTGTTCTCTTAATTTGGATACCCATCTTCACCTTCCATTTCTAATTTACAGACCATTATCCACTTTGCTTGCAAAACAGACTCCCTCATGAGTGTTCATTATTAATATAGACTTGCCTGAACCTAGCCAGCCTTTTGCAGCAGTCCCTTGTTATTTTGGGTTACTTAGATGTAGGAGATTCTATATCTGTTAATTTTCTCCTCCCACTGGTGACTCATTTCCACTGTAATTTGTGCTGTTACTTTTGTGGATGGCAATCCTTGTGGTGTCAACAGAAGAAAAAAAGATACTAGGTTTGGTCTATTCCAGAGCAGGAAAGCATGCCAGACCTCTCTCAAAGTTTGTATTACCTTGTGGCTGAGAATAAGTCGGTTCATTCTGTCACTGGGGAAGGAGTTACAGGTGGTTACACCCGTGGCCTTGCATGTTTGTAACTAACTTCCTCTCACCTTACAGTGTTTTTGAAGAGCATCCTGTGCTGCTCACACTTGTGTTCAGCAGGACCACACCAGGACTGGTGGGCTTTTAGAACTTATGAAGAAGTTTAAAGATACGGGATGGGGAAGGAAATGTATTTTGGTCTACAGAAACTAAGATGTACACATGCAGAAAATTTCTGAAGCTCGGTTTTAAAAGAAATAGAAATTTAAAAGTTCAGAGGAAGCAATGCATTTTTCTTAAGTCTTGGAGAACGTTTTTTGTTATACATTAGGAAAACCTGCAGCATATATAGTTCATATCTTACCCTGTGTCCTAGCCATATGGGGATCAGTGCAGGATGAGAACAGCACTGGAAAGAAAATTAATTGTAGAGGAATCCTTGCAGAGACACTCAGCTGTTTTTCACAGGTTCCACTGCAAGGTCACTGCAGTGTATCTGCACTGATCAGTGGATACAGGTGGTTGATGTTGATTTTCTT